GAGGTCAAATAGCTCCCGTCATTAAGGATCCTTTTGAACCTGGTTCCAGCGAGTGCCTAGGAAACCCGCGAGATGTCAAACAAGGCCTGGGTGTAGCTTGCTAAGTCCGAGCAGCCTTGCCAGGTAAGATGGTGCGAGTGGAGGACGGCATTGCAGAACTTGCTTGTTGTCCCCTTTTCTTAGCTATTTGGATGCACATGTTTCCGTAGTTCTTTGGTGATCCGGATGCACAGTTGCAGTGAATCCAAGAAGCTGTGAACCGCGTGTTCATTTGGCAGGTGCCAAAGCGACTGTTGCCTTGACAGTGTTCGATGGAATCCGAAAGGATGTGGTTCAGAGAACTAGTTAAGCTGGAGTTTGGTTTTGCTAGGCGGTTCATGTGTTGCACAGGAATATTGTATATGTTGTTCAAGGCTGCTGTCCTTCATTGCTCGTTTTCTTCGCAACGTGAGCAGACATACCACTGCGTTTGTGCTCGTTGGCTAATTGTATCTTAAGCTTCCTAAGGGTCGCTAGATCTGATGAATGCTCTCACTTCTTTCAAAGACTAGTTAGATCGTTACTTGGTTGACGTTGGAAGGGGAGCAAAAGTTTAAATTTTAGCAGTTAAGTGGGGATTTCCCACAGAACCACAATAAGCAAGAATATAAAATGTTTCCCAACAACAACCATGTGTTAGATCTAACGCTAGACGTTTGCAGTGCAAATCCAAGCGTGGCGTGGCCGGGCGGATCGCATCCCCCATCCCGCTTGAGCGGGCGACCGGTGCGTTCCATGCAGAAGCTACCCCCAGCTTTCCGATTTCCGCCCACTTTGCCGGACGAAATGGGTTTTTGCAATGTTTGGTGTGGCTGAGGGGAGTTGATTATTAGGGGTAGGTTGATTGATAGGAAGACGGGATGACGAGTGCTACTGTCAGACTGACTGACGTGGAAGCAAGATGGGCGACTCCAAGTTTGTCTCGTTGCTGCAGGTGACCTCGAACGTCCCGAACAGAGAGACCCAGCATCTATACAAGAAAAGCGGGGCCCTGCATCTGCCACAGAATAAATTCCTGTCTCCAACGAGAAACACTTGGAGTCGCCCATCTTGCTTCCATAAATCAGCCCCACAGTAGCACTCGTAGTCTATTCTTGTTGCTCCCCTTCGGGTCACTCGGGGCCCGGTGGGCCCCGGACTCCGCCTGGCCGCGCTTCGCGCGAGCGGCGCGCGAGCGGCGCTTGCGCGAGCGGCGCTTGCGCGAGGACTTTGCGGACCAGGCGGGCGCGCTGCTGCTGGCCTGCTGCCTCACAGTTGTTCTGCTCGGCATGCTGGCAGCCTGATATGGCTTGGGCCAACAAAAAAACATGGGCTGCAAGCAGGACATGGAGCAGACCCTGGGCCAAAAGAAAAACTAACGCAGAATTTGGCAGACCCTCCAAACTCAAGGGAGACCAGAAGATGCTTGTGTGTGAACAATAGCAGTGCAGTTAAACCAAAGGGGTGGCCTCACCCTGCTAGCTGCTGACCTAGCTGCCTGACGCGAAGGGAAGCAGGCTGACCAAATAGCCGCCTTTTTCGCGGAGGGGAAAACGGCGAGAACGCGCCGGGTTGGGAATTGGGTGTTGGATGTAATGGTTTGAGTGGATCCCCTCGTTTGGGTTCGCCCTGAAGACGTCAACTCCGAAAAATGTTCCAATTCTCGTTCTACCGGGGACACTACTGAAAGGGGCATTCTACTTTGCAAGTCATGGTTATAACCCACAACAGCCATAGTTATAAGTCTCCGTTCGGTGGGTTATAACCATGGTTACTAGTCACTTGCCTGACATACCCTGCCCCTTTAAGCAGGGAAGTTGCCGCGCTTTCTAGTCTCACACTCAAACCGAGCTAGACTTAGACCCCACACCTTACATATGCTGAAATGAATATGTTATTGTTTCCTCTTGTTGGTTTTAAAGGGAATCGATTTCACAATTGGACACATATATGTTTATTTGTTCCAGGGAAACACTTATTAGATACCCTTCGCGATGACGAAAGTGAATATTTGTTGCGAATGTATCCTGCCAATCCCCTGGCATGTTTGTCACATTGCTCCACGTAACATTGGCTCAAGCCCTTGAAACGGGCGACAAAACTGGAGCTGGTGCGCATTCACAGTTACACAGTGGTGGTCCATGTTCAGCGATGCTGCCTTTGATCCATGATCCCAGATCAGTTGGAGCCGTTCACTGGTGTCTTAGTTCGGGGATTGCTTGCATTTGCTGAAGCATACTTTTTTTTTGCCCCCCGTGTTGGTTTTGAAGGGAATCTATATTATCACCACTGGTAAGTTTGTTTTTGTTCCAGGAGGCTTATGCAAATGGAAGAACTTGTTTCCCCCAAAAATAGCCGAGCGCAGCAAGCTGCGGCAAAAAACACACGGAGGTGCCAAAGAAAAAAACGAGCCAATCAACCGCAAGGTGTTGCGGTACTGGTAATCAGAAAGTCGAGAATCAGAGCAACTTCCAAGCGTTCAGTGCTTTTGGTCGGGCATTCCTGCCATGACGCACTGGTGTTTGTGGATTCTTGTGCACCTGGCAGCGGGCAGTCCTTGTGATGATCGATGCTTTGCATGCAATAATGTTGCTGTCCTCGGCACCTTGGCCATGCCTGGAAGTTGGTTCAGAGCGTGGCGTTGTTGGCAAACTGCTGTGGGAGCAACCATAGTAAAGTAGTGTCGAGAGTCGAGAGCGCATCTCTAGCTGTCACCATGCGCGGCGACCATGCCTTGCTGCACGAGCTGTCTAGGTCAAGCTGGAGTTGTACTAGCTTTGCAGACACGTGCGCGCAGCACGCGCACGCACGCACCACACGCACGCACCCGCACCAGCACCCGCACCCATACCCGCACCCACACCCACACCCGCACCCACCCCCACACCCCCACACCCCACACCCCCACACCCCCACACCCGCACACCCTCACGCCCCCACACCACACCCCCACCACCCCACCACCCCCACACCCCCACACCCCCACACCCCCACACCCCCACACAGTCACACAGACACACAGACACACAGACACACAGGCACACAGACACACAGGCACACAGGCACACAGGCACACCACACACACACACGCAGACACGCAGACACACAGACACACAGGCACAGAGACACAGAGACACAGAGACACAGAGACACAGAGACACAGAGACACAGAGACACAGAGACACAGAGACACAGAGACACAGAGACACAGAGACACAGAGACACACACACACACACAGAGACACACACACACAGGCACCACACACACACATACGCAAGATGCGGTGTGAATTCAGAGCTGAAGCTTAGGATATGCCGCTTGGGTAACAGATCGGGAGGCTTTCCAGCGAGACGATGAGCCACGCTACCTTTCGGGTTTGCACGTTGTTTGCGTCTGGAAGGAGGCGGGTCTGACAAGAGTCATTGACTCCAGCCATTCTTCCGGTTGCCCAGTGGGTTCCGCCTTTTATCCTTTTTGGGGAAAGGTTTCTCCTTAGTCAAGCAACCAAAGAAGGATGCACCTGTTTTTTTCCCGTGGAGCTCCACTGTGAGTTCTTGCAGGCGGGAACGCTCCGTTTGGAAGCCCACATGAATGGCGTGCTGGAGGAGGATCCAGTTCGCTCGGAGCTCGATGGGGTGCCCTGGCCTCATGCCATACTGCGGATGGGCGAAATCCATTTCGCACCACGTTGAAACCATGGGAAACAATTATTTGTTGGTATTTACAGGGGAATCATCATTCTAGGGTTTCTGAAGGGTGCGAGAGGGATTTCGCAACCATCCACAGTGGCACTTGGGTTTCCCTGCCATGCCTTTCTCATGCCATGTATTGATCAAATCGCGCCAGGCGCTGAGTCTCGACTGGGGGAAGTTCCGGAAATCCCTGCAGGGGGTCCTTCGCTTCAGCAAGGCTCGGCACATTGGTTGTTGTGGCACGCAGCTCATGTCCGAAAGCCGGCCTCAAACAGGTTGCGCTTGAGGTTTGCCTGTTTGGAGAGGCTGGAAAGATTGGGCTGCACATGAGAATCTGGGCAAATCGGGTGGTGGGGGGGGGAAGGGCTTTTGGCACATATCGCGGGCGCGCAGGGGGTTCGACTGCAGCACAGGTTTGCCACGTGCACTTTTTGCCACATGCCCCATGCCGCAGTGTCTGGTAGGTAAACAGTGCCAGCTTGGTCATGGTTGTTGGGAGACATCTCACATTCTTGCTTATTGTGGTGTGGGACATCCACTTACCTGCTATGTGTGTGTGTGTGTTTTTCCCCATGTTTGCTCCCCTTCCAAGGCTAGGTTCCTCAGTAGTGCCCTTTTACCAGCTTTTTTCGGGGGAGGGTTCCCCTACTAAATTAGACTACAATCAAAAATAGGGTACCTTTATTCTAACCTCTCCACTGGCGGACCTAGTGTTTATGGTGGGGTCCCCTCTTGTTTTGCCTTCTAAACCAAATCAAAAAGGGGTACCTTGAAAACAAGACACGCCCACTTGGTATGGTTTTCAGGTTCCCATAGATTGGTTTGGATTGGTGGGAACTGGGAGAACCCCTTGCCATCCTTCCGCCTTCGTGTTCTCCTTTGCTGGGCGCAGGCCACCAACGAATGGGGGAACTTCCACCTGAAGCAGCCCTACGGCATCTTCTCCGAAGCAGGCCACCGCTTGAGCTCGGCGACGGAGGTGCGCACCAGCAAAGGGGACTTGCACAAAGCAACGGCCTTCTACCTAGAGTCTCCATGACCTTTAAAAAATGGAGTCATTACCCTAAATTATGGGGTCATGGACCTATTTTTAAAGGGTCATGGAGACTCCAGGTACTTCCATTTGCTGAAACGAAGATTTGTACTTTCCCAGGTTGGTTTTAAAGGGAATCGATTTCACTACTAGAAATATGGTCTCACTTGTTCCAGGGGTGCAAAAGCATTTCTGAAGCCTATGGCTGTCATTTGCATTGCGTTGCAACTAGAGGGAGGCAAGTTGCCCATTTTCGAGCCTTGCATTCTGGACATTTGCATCTTCGCAGGTGCTTGATGCTGGTCTGGTGCTGGTGGTGGAGGGCGGCCAGTGGTTCTGGCCACCGGTGCGGATTGGATATGTGCGCGGGCTGCCCGGCACGCCGTACATGCGCCTTGCTCGCATGCCGGGCTTCGAGGGAAGGTTCTTCTTGGCTTCGCCCCTGGGACACTTCGCTTGCATGGCGAACCCGGGAAACTCATTTGGGATTCCACAGGCAAGTGTATCAATGCATGTTCTCGTACGCCGCTTTGGCCCTTGTGTTGAATCGGAATGAAAGCATCCCGGGCAGCCCGATCTTGTAGTGTTAGGCACTCGAACTTCGGTCGGGTTGCGCGAGCGGAACTCAGCATCCCGCCGCCCACCCTTCGACCAGAGAGTGCTTCCCAAATGCCCTGAATGAGAGTGATCTCTCACCTCTGCAACTGACAGTGCGACTCGTGCGACCGTGAGCACAGCGCAAGCCCACAAGAAACGCCAAAGCGAAGGATGGGCAGTGTGGAAAGCAAACCTGAGAAAGGATCAGAGCAGAGCAGAGAGGATCGTTTCCGATCCGGCTTGGGGCCCGAAGACCTGCGAAACCCCCAAACGTCTCCCACAACAAACCGTCCTGTTTGAGAGCCACCTGAAACACATAAAAATTTGCATACGGGTTGATGCTGGGGTATGGCCATTGGGTGTCTTGTGCTTATTCAAGCCATGCTTTCGGCGAGCGGTTTCAAGCTGCCCAGGATAGAAACTGTGTCCGTGCAGCCGGTGGTCTTTCGAGTACGCGGATTTCTGCGTGAGGAGGCTCGTGGCTTTCTTCCACAGCGTAGGTCGTAAGCATCCAGCAACTCCCAGGAGTGCAGTGTGATCATCGACATGGCTGAATCCAACATGTCGGAATCACCGGTTGTCCAAATGGAGAAGCATTACAGGGACAATGACACCAAGGACTTTCGGACAAGCACGCAGGCCCGCTTACCCAGTTCAGACAGTTCTCTGCGGCTTGACTTGAGCCTGTGCTTCTCAGTTCTCGAGTTGCTGGACTTTCAACTTTTGTGGTTGCAGTGGTCACGCCCTGGGCCGGGCCAGAGTAACCCGCACAAGAGGTGCTGGACTTTCAACTTTTTGGGGTTGGACCATTTTCGCGCCAACCCAAGAGTTTGGACTGGTTTTCCCCATCCACTCGATGGGAACAGGGGCTTTCTGCAGCTTTGGCTCGTCTTTTCGTCTTTTCGCGAATCCAACTGAGGCTCCAGGAGTTGGACAAGCGCATCAGCAACTTGACTCGTGTGGACGTGACCCACAACGAGGAGGTTCAGGTGCTGAGATACCGCCTGGGGGAGTTCTACGCTTCCCACACGGACAACTTTGATCCGGAGTATTACCAAAATGTGGCAGCTTGGCCAAAATTCTCATGCCCGGAGATTTCCCTGGAGCTACTCAAGGACCCCTTTTTACCCCCCGTTCAAGCCATCCTCATGACTGTGGGATGATGGCCTTGCCGCCGTTTTTTTTCCCCTCTCCGCTGCGCTCCGCTGTACTCCTGCAGGACTTCATTGACAAAGGCCACAGGAACCGGCTACTGACCGTCTTCTGGTACTTGACCAACGTCTCCAAAGGCGGCGAGACCTTGTTTCCGCGCGCGGATGGCTTGCCGCCGCCAGAGGACAAGGGTACAGCCTCTCAGGTGCTTTTTGAGGCGTGGTTCTTGGGCTTGGCTTGGAGGTATGCGGCAGATCAGGGCTTTGCATGCGATGGAAAGTGCCGCGCAAGCCGTGATGCGCCATGCGCAGGACATGAACAGCTGTGAGCGGGGACTCAAGGTTCGCCCAGAGGTTGGCACAGTGATGCTATGGTATTCCTTGCGCCCGAACGGCAATGGGGACCCGACGCTTCGGCGAATGAACTTGGAAACAGCCCGTTCACAACATCTCCACCGTGGGCCAGAGTTCAGTTTAGAGACCTGGCAACTGAGTCTGCATGCCAAGGAACAGCCTGCATGCCTCCTGCCCGGTAGAGGATGGCAAGAAATGGTCTGCGAATTACTGGGTGTGGAATAAGCCGCGCGACTTTTCGATCAGTTTGCCTGACGCGGACGTGGATGAGGAGTACAGCGGAGATTTGGCTGCACCTGCCCGGGAAAGTCTTGCTTCTGGGTGGGATTGGGGCGCTGCGAATTTCAGAAAACGGGCCCGGAAAGTGAAAAACACGCGGAAGAAAAAACACACACACACACACACACACACTTTTTGCAAATTCGTCGGTCTTTGATCGGGATGGTCAGGCTGGTCAGGACTGTCGGGCGGTCGGGATGATCAGGAAATGGGGAATGGTCGACCCCAAGGGTATTGAGCACTGTTCAACCAGTCTTGATATGCCTCAACGTCGTGTCGGGCCTGTTTGAAGGAAGGTTCTTTGCGAGGGGTTGTGGGGAAGAGCCGTCAAATTAACCTACCTCAATTGAACAACTCCTGAGTCCTTCGGAGTGCCCTTAGTGCTTGACAGTGTTGCATGCAATTTCGAGCTTAGACCTAAACGCTTGTTCCTGTGGCTTTCCACGCTCTCTTTGACCGTTGTGTGACTCGGCCAACTGCGCCGAAAGAGGCGTTGTGGTGGTGGACTCACACTGACTTGCCTTGGCTTGCCGCTTCATGCAGATTGATTTGACATCAGGTGACGTTTCTGCAGCCTTGAAGACTTCAAACCTTGGTGGGCTAGGGTGAGATATCCAAACACAGCCAAGTCAAGCCCATCCAAGCTTGCAGTGTTTGTGTGGTTGAGGCAATGTTGTCAGACAACATTTTCCAAGCTCTCTGCAACTTTTTTCCAAACCAACAAAAACACATTGCATGTGCCGACCGCGGGCAAATCTAAGCTACCTTTTCAGACATTTGGGGTGTGTGTGCGTGTGGGTGTGGGTGTGGGTGTGTGTGTGTGTGTGTTGGCACTTCTTTTTGACATGCATCTTTTTGTGAAGCAATGAGGCGAGCAGTCAGTGGCACTCTCCACTGTGGAAGCTGGCAACAATGTCAGCGCAACGTTCCGAAATGAGCACCCCTTTCCCATGTACCTGTCGATGCCTCAGTTTTTCGTGCAGCATCCGTTTGGTTTTGGCTATGTTCTCAGCTTGCAGGTTTTGGAAGCCACCTGACCGAGCACAAGAGGCGTTCCTTGGGGAGATCTCCCCGCAGGACTGTCGATGCTGTTCTAAGTACTGTTGACCCCAGATGAATCAACCCCGGGTTTATCAATAGGGGGGTGTCAACCTGGCCCTAGTGGGGAATTCAGACCACTTTTGGAGGGGACCACCCCCATATCGATCTTGACTGCTATTGGGTTGTATCTTTAGACTTTAACTTTTTCGGATATCAAGGGGTTTTCCTCTAAACGCCCAAAAAGTTAAACTGTTTGCAGGACAGTCAACAGCAACCAAGTGACAATCTGGGGTTGATTAGCACGGGGTTAACATCAGTCTGGTCCCGATGGCCCTTCGGATCGCAGGCAGCTGTCAGCATGCTGACTTTCCCCGGCCACATTTGGCATATTCGCATTGGTGCCGACCAGTCGAGCGAGCTTGTCACCGCCCAGGCACGTCTCTGAGAAGGCAATATGAACAACATGAACATGATGATGAACATGATGATGAAAATGGTAATGGATTTGATGAGAATTGATGATGATGATGATGATGATGATGATGATGATGATGATGATGATGATGATGAAGATGATGATGATGATGATGATGATGATGATGATGAACACGAACATGAACATGAACATGAACATGATGCTGATGATGATGATGATGATGAAAATGAAAGCCGGGCCGACATAGAATCCACCTCTTGATCCAGACCTACGATTACTTGAAGCATCCATCATCCATGATCCTTTCTCCCTAGTAATGTGCGGCCCCTCAATGGAAACATTAGCCTCAGCAAGAAGAGCCCTTCCTTCCTTTATTTCTTTCTTTCTTTCTTTCTGTCTTTATTTATTTCTTTCTTTCCGTCTTTCTTTCTTTCTTTCGTTCTTTCCTTCTTTGCTTTCCCTTTGTTGAAAGACGTACGTCTCTTTGTAATTTATTTTGTCCTTCAGTTTATTTGTTTGTGTTTGTATTTTTTCTTTATTTATCTATGTCTTTCTTTGTTACGGTTTGTCTATGGAGTTGGTTTAATGTTGATTTATTTAGAACTTTGTGTAGTTATGTATTGATTGATTGCTTGCTTTCCGGCGTTATTGTGTTCGTTATTTCTTTAGTTACTCTTTCTGTCTTTCTTTAATGTTCGATGTTACTATTTGTTATGGTGGTTTATCGTTGTTTTTTTGTTTTTGTTTTTGAAGGAATGTGTGTGTGTGTGTGTCTTTCTGTATTTCGTCGTTTATTCCTCTCTCTCTCTCTCTCTCGATGGCATTATTTGTTTTATGTTGTTTGATCTACACAATCATTTACTTATGTATTTGTTTATTGTGTTTGTTCTTTATTTCTTTGCGGTTACATATCGATCACTCTATCGAGCTATCGATCTATCCATCTATCTATCTATCTATCTGTCTATCTAGTCTATCTATCTATCTATCTATCTATTTGTCTATCTTTCTATCTATCTATCGATCGATCTATCAATCAATCTATCTATCCATCTATCTATCTATGTCTCTCTCTATCTTTTCTGCTTGATCTTGTGTTCCAGAGTTCTATCTATCTATCTATGTATCGTCTCTGTCAACCAATCTGTCTCTCTTTCTCTCTAGCTCTCTAACTCTCTATCTACCTAACTACCTATCTACTATCTACTATGTATCTAACAATCTATCTCTTGCTCTCTCTCTCTCTCTCTGTTTGTCGCATCATCAGTTTTTGTTCTATCTACTTATTCAATCCATCTATCTATTTATCCGCTCCCTCTCTCTCTCTCGCTCTATCTATCTATCTATCCATCCATCCATCCATCCATCCATCCATCCATCCATGCATCTATCTATCTATCTATCTATCTATCTATCTATCTATCTATCTATCTATCTATCTATCTATCTATCTATCTATCTATCTATCTATCCATCTACTATTTTCCTATCATCTATGTATGTGTCTTTGCCATCCCACTAACTATCCATCTAACTATCCATCTTTTTCATCTCGCTGTTTCGCTCTGTTTATCCATTGAATTCGAGTGCAGATTTCTATCCATCTGTCTATTCATCGGCTCTAGCTATCTCTGTAATTATCTTTCTATCTATCGGCGTTGCGAAAGTGATGCGCTGACCATTCGAAAGTGCTGCGCCTGGCGCGAAATCTACACCTGACCTTGCGGGAGCGCGAAATCGCCTGCCACACTTGACCTTGCAAAAGCGCTGTGCCACGGAATCTTTTCCTGACCGTGCGAAAGTGCATTCAATTTGTTCATCTTATTTGTGAGCAAGACTACCTTTCACTTTGTGTCCGGAAACTGGAAAGGGAGCGGGCACTGGCCCAAGTCACCCTTGACACTGTCATATATGTCAGCATGTCCGCGTAGTGCCCAAGTGCCTCTTGCTATTGACAAAACCCCCTCGCGATCAGCCCATTGCGAGGCAAATTGATTTCTCAGCCGCTTCACCGCCAAGTTGCTTACCGCTTTATTGCATCCAAACCCGGTTTAAAGGGAGCCGAGGCATCCCGAGGGGAGTCAACCTGCAGCATAGGAGAAACATCACGCTGATGTCGTCAACTCACATCCTAGCATGGAGACGTCATTCTCCATACAGTATGAGGTGTTGAAAGTACCAAGTATCGCGAACGTTTATCTTAACGCGACTTGTCGGCCAACGGCGAACAGCAATTTGTTCGATTTCGAACAGCATGCCAAAGGAGGATGCTAATGTGAACAGCGCTCGTCCTTTGCACTGGCTGGGCAATGGTGGGGACGGAATTTCCTTCTAAGTGTCCGGGTATATTCTGGTAGCACGTCATCATAGTCCTTATCCACGGGGCGTCCCTTTCCGCACCCAAGCATCGTTCAACATAGCGACTTCCGAGAAAGTTTCGTTAGGGTTGGCCCTAGCATTCGCTTAGATTGCTTAAGTATGGGTTCCTATTCTGCCCTAGTACGGTTTAAGTTGGGATTTGCCGGGAACTTTGCAGGTTCAGGTTCTATCGTGCCCCCAAAAGAATTTCAAGAAGACCTTCCATGGAACTAGTTGGGGATGTTTGGTTGAGAATGCACGCGCAGCGTGTGAACAAATGAGAAAAGGCTGGAAACCGGGAGCAACGCAAACCATGGCCCTGTGCATGAATCGGCGCTTCGCATGTGCGCAAGATCGCGTGTTCGGAGCAGTCCAAGAGCACGTTTGGAGCGAGCGCGGCAACCGCCCCATTGGTCACGGCCACATGAAAAGCTTCGCAACCATCCAGCACTGCACCATTCCCTCCGAACTCCAGCAGGGTGGTCCGGACGCTGGCAAGAATTGGAGCGCGCACCGATTGCCAGAAAAAAAGGTGAAGATTGCGCTCAAGCAAGAAGAAAACAGTTGCTTGTGTTTGCCTTCACCGTATTGAGGCAGTCTGCGCCCAATCAGAAAAGCAGCCGGGAAACGTTGTCACGCTCTTTGGCTCCACACGCAAGCTGAGCGAAAATGATCGACTTGTCCTCAAAAGTGGTTGGCTGCGCGTGTGTTTTGCTGTAAAGCTACAGATAGAGAGTGGCAACAGTTCTGCGCAAACGGTGCCCTTGGCACTTTGTCACGTAGGTCGCATTTGGGAGATGTCTGGTCCGTACCATTGGATTCTCGCCGTTGGGACCACCCAGATGATTGCTCGTGGCAGGTGATTACAGACCAGCCCAAGCAGGTGATTGTTCTGTCCAGTGACCCTGAGCCTGATGTTGATGAGTTGTAGCCGCTGTAATTGGCGAGCGCTGCAAAGATGGCGCTGGAAGAATTTCTGTGCAAACTAGTGCTGCGGAAGCCCTGTGCAAATCCGCAGGAAGCGTGCAGCCTTAAACGCTGGCCCGAAGTCTCATGGTCATTGCCTCACGTTTCGTTTGTTGTCCAGGAGCAGTTTTGTCCATAATCATTCTTGTTGAACGTGCGGCCCGAGCGGATGTGAGAATTGTTTGGTGCATTTTCGGGGGCGGGGACGGAGGCTTGCTCATGCTTGGCCAGGCCAGCAGCAATAGATTTTGAGGTCATTTCGGCCAAAGTTTGATTTGCCGAAAACCTTGCAAGGATGGTAGCTTATGGCGACGACAGTCAAAAGGCATGCTTGGGTTAGTGGCATTGCAGCTTGATTTGGAAAATTGTCCCGTGAGTCAAAGCCTTGCGAACCATTACGTCGAGTTTGTGGCATGAAGGCCTAGGTCCGGAAGTTTTCAACTGGCACTGACCCGGAATGTTCACACAAACCAGGAAAGGAGTACGGACCTGCTTTACTGGTCGAGACCAGTGTAAGGCCAAAAAGGGTGCATGCTGAAAATCCATGGAGAAGAAAGATGGTTGTTATCTCAAACGCTATTGAAGTGCACTCATGGAATCATGGCATGATAAATTTGATTCTGATGTATTCTGTAATTATATTTTATTGTTCTTATTTAGACATGATGATAAATTGTTTTTATATTTATTTTAGTTAAATATTGTTGGATATCCAGTGTAAGGCCAAAAATGGGTGCATGCTGAAAATCCATGGAGAAGAAAGATGGTTGTTATCTCAAACGCTATTGAAGTGCACTCATGGAATCATGGCATGATAAATTTGATTCTGATATATTCTGTAATTATATTTTATTGTTCTTATTTAGACATGATGATAAATTGTATTTTATATTTATTTTAGTTAAATATTGTTTGATATATAATTTTATTATATAATAAATATAGAATAATTTAAATAATAATATATATATATATATATATTTATATGTCGATGATATTTTGCAAATTATGTTGGGATTAATGTAAGTTTTGTTTATAAAAAATAATTTTATATAGGGATAATATTGGTTGATTAATAAATTTAAAAAAATAAATGGGAATTTATATATTTTATTTATAATTTATAAATAAATAGATTAAATATTAATGTTAAAATAATAGGGGAAAAAAACAAAGGAATTTTATATAATTTATTTATTGTTAGGGATGATATATGGAAATATCGTTATATTAATATAAATACCATTCAACAAAATAATATAATTATTCTATATCTTACCATAACTTCTTAAGAAATATTACATCTCTGCTTCCATCCCGCGGCTAACATTAAACCCGCTAAAATGCTATTTATTTTTTATACTTAATTTAAATAATATTTATTTTTTAAAATATGTGAATTCCCGCTTAAAGAATCAAAATAAACAATAAAACAATGAAATATAATTAACAATTTTAATTTTATTATTTGTTTTTAAATTTATTTGGAAATTATAATATTATTTTTAGTATATATATATATCGATATATATTTTTTAGATTTGTGTGTTTATGTTTTGTATTGTGATTGTTTTTATGTGTTTTTTGTTTTTGAATGAATGTTTGTTTTTTGAAAAACCATGATATGGAATTGTATATTTTATGTTATTGGAATATGAATGAATTGTTGTAAATTGTAATAGAAATGCATAAAAATGAATATATTGGGAATTATTCTTAGGACCTTTTGTATGCGAAACAAATTTATTATTTATTTTCTAATTATTTTTTAAAGTTATTTGGAATTTATATAATGTGCTGCTTATAACTTAATTGGCGAGAGTGTGTGAGATTATTAATAGTAAGATAATTTTTTGGCATAAATATAGGAGATTTGTATGATTGTCGTTGCACGATAGGTATTTATTGTTATCTAATGATTTATGGAGATTTGTAAAAAATATATAAGGTTTTTTTATCTTTATAGTATTTTATTGTTGTTGTTTTTTAAGAAAATTCTTAATATAATGTAATATTTATCTTAGTTGGGTCTTAAGTTATTCCGGAAATTATCTAGATTAAATTGAATTTAATATATTAATATATATTTATTATATTATTATATAAATTTTATTAAAAATAATATTGAAAAAATAATAAATATTCCCGATAATTAAATGATTTATATATAAATATGCTATGGTATTATCACTCCAACACCTAGACACTTAAATAGGTAAACACAAATTATATATTACCTCCGTTAGCGTTACCGCCAGCCCGGCCAACCAACTTAAATACCCGATTTACATAGGTATTTTGCATTACATCTTGAAAGCCTGCCTTTGGCCCGTCCCGCCTTAGCAATTTATTTGTTGTTTGTTGTCGATTACATCTTTCGCAACCAATCGGCTATTCTAGGATTTATTGAAAAACAAGCCCCATCCCAAGAAACTAGGATATTCAAGAAACTTGTATGCCCCATCCAAAATAAGGGGTAGACGGGGCTTAAGCAGCTCAATTCAGCGTATTTAGCTCCGCAATTTCAGTTATGGATTCGGAGCAGGGTTATGCAAATAGAAGATAGTCCTTTTGTAGCGGTCTAAAAGAATTCTATAACAAGTCTGACATAGGGGCCCAATACCAAATCCAGTCATTCTCTCTCTCTCTCTCTCTCTCTCTCTCTTTGTTTTGCTTGTATAGGAGTAGTTAAAAAATCGGTTTTAAAGGAAATCTAGGAATCCCATCCGAGACAAGGTTCTTTCTCCATAAACCACGTAGACAGGGCTTAGGCAGCTCAATTCAGCGAACGCACTTTACTCCGCAATCCAGTCTTTTTTGTGGCATGGAAATACGAATATTGGTTTGCATTGTAGATATCGGTGTTTTATCATATGCGAAATCATGTTTTGTATTAACTCCAGAACCCGCAAGTCGCTGCATCACTACACTTATGCTAGGGATTCGGGGCAAGATTTGCGAGCAGGAGATGGTTCTTTTGTAGGGGTCTAAAACAAATACAAAACAGGTCTAATATAGGATCCAATATTAGAGCAAAATATATTTTCTTATTTTTTGGGTTTTTCTTTCTTCTTTTCCAATTCATATTTTTTTAAACCTAGAATTTGTTACAAAACAAATCCCAAAACATTAGGAATTTCAAGAATTGAAAGAAATCTAAGAATCCTCTCCGAGATAAGGGATATAAATAATTCAATTCACTGCACTTAGCTCGTTGGACTGTGGCTTAGCAGGACTTAATATGTTTATTACGAATTCGGGGCAGAATTGTGCTAATGTATAATGGTTTTAAAACAGATCTAATACGAGACCCAATGCCAGATCCAAACATTCTTTCTTTCTCTCTCTTTCTCTCTTATTCTTTTTTTTTATTTGTTTCTCTTCTCTTCCAATTCCTTTTATTCTAGTATTTCTTAAAAACCAAATCTTATCCTAAAATACTAAGAATTTCAAAGAAATCTAGGAATTCCATCCGAAATAAAAAGCATTCATATCCTTCTTATTTTCTTTCTCTTACGAGATATATAGACAAGGCTTAAATAATTTAATTCAAAATTACCCTAATATAATCTTCAATTATAAATATCGGTGTTATATCATGTCCATTTCATATTACCTCGTGAATCCGTAAACCGCTATACTTATAATACGGATTCGGGGCAAGATTTGCGAACAAAAAATTAGTTCTTTCTTTTTTTATTCTTTATTTCTCTTTCTTTTTGCTAATTCTATTTATTCTTAGATTTATTAAAGAATAAATCCCATCCCAATACATTTAGAATTTTAAAAATTCAATCAATCTAATAATCCCGTCCAAAATGAACCACGTAAACAAAACTTAAGAAGCTCAATTTAGCGTACTTAACTCCATAATTCTAATTTGTTTTTATAATATCAAATTATAAAATCATTAGTTTCCAATTAGAAATATTATTATTGCACCAACATAATATTAAAATCATTATAACACAATTTAACCTAACTCAATAAAAAAAAATGTCAATTATCAATAAGAATTTTACATATTATTGATATCAAAATCATATTTTTCAAATAAATATCAATTATAATAGTTATATTCAAATATAATATCCTTTTTTTATATAATCTGGCAAAGAAAAAATCGATAAATAAATATAAGTTAACAATATAAATCTAATTTATCGAATACCATAATTAAACAAAATCAAAAATAATTATCGAATTATTAAAATATATTTATATATTACCATAATTAAATATAATTTATCATAATTTCAATCATATATTTATCGAATAAACCCTTTGAATATATATTTCTCAAAACAAATTCAATTTTAAATTCCAATATTTGTTTTTTTCAATTCAACATTCGTAAATATTAACAAATAACACCAATATCGAAATATCTAAAACATAATAATATATTCCAATTTTGTATCCTAATCATCCCTTATTATATCTTTTATATAATCGTTATTCAAACAAAATACCAAATTATCATCAAAATGCAAACCAACACTTCCTATACATAAATAAACCTCCAAAAATCCCTTCCATTAACTTATCTACGCTTTGATCTAGAGGTGACCAGCGCTCTTTAGCTCGCGCAACCAGCCCTCAAGCACTACCAGCGCAGCCTGCTTTCAATAACTATTGCTCCAAAATTGGCAGGCCCCAAATTGCCCAACATAAATCTTTGCTGCCAAAAACTCAATCCCCAAAAATTGCCAGGCCTTAAATAAATTTCCAGCATTTTCTAAAACTCCTGCGCCCGAAATTCCCAGGCCCCAAATCTCCAGCACAAACCGCTGCTTTCCAAAACCTCTGGTCCCAAATTGGCAAGCCTCAAGTCTCCACCCAAAATCTGTGCTTGACAAAATACGCCACGAAGTCGGCAGGCCCCAAGTATCCAGCGCAAACCTTTGTTGTCCAAAACTCATGCTCCCAAATTGCCAAGCCCCAAGTCTCCAATTTTCACACCCTCTGCTCCCAAATTGGCAGGCCCCAAGCCTCTGCCCAAAATATGTGTGTTGAAAAAAACCCGCTCAAAACAAATGCCAAGCCCCAAGTCTCTAGCGCGCACCTTTGACTTCCAAACCTCCTGTCTCCAAAATGTCCAAGCTCAGAGTCTCCAGTTC